AAACCCCAAATCCCCCCCTCCCAATCCTGAGGACCCCAGAGTGACCCCAAAGTGACCCCAAAGTGACCCCAATTGACCCCAAATTACCTCAGTGACCCCAATCCTAAAGTGCCCCCAAAGTGACCCCAAATGACCTCAGTGACCCCAACTGACCCCCAAAGTGACCCCAAAGTTACCCCAACTGACCCCAGAGTGACCCTAAAGTGACCCCAAATGCCCCCAAATGACCCCAAATGACCCCAGAGTGACCTCAAATGACCCCCAAATGACCCCACAGTGACCCCAAACTGCCCCCAATATCCCTGGTGACCCCCAAAGTGACCCCAAATGACCTCAGTGACCCCAAATGACCCCAAAGTGGCCCCAAACTGACCCCAGAGTGACCCCAAATGACCCCAAATGACCCCAGAGTGACCCCAAATGACCCCAGAGTGACCCCAAATGACCCCAAAGTGACCCCAATGACCCCAGAGTGCCCCTCCCCCCCAGGAGTGCTCCCTGCGGGCCAACAACGGGCGATTCTCACTGCGGGATCTGCTGATGGTGCCCATGCAGAGAGTGCTGAAATATCACCTGCTGCTCCAGGTGACACACCTGGGCACACCTGGGACACACCTGGGCACACCTGGGGGGCACCTGGGACACACCTGGGGACAGCTGGGGACAGCTGGGGACACCTGGGGACAGCTGGGGACAGCTGGGGGACACCTGGGGGACACCTGGGGACAGCTGGGACACACCTGGGGGGCACCTGGGCACACCTGGGGGACACCTGGGCACACCTGGGACACAGCTGAGGGGCACCTGGGGACACCTGGGCATAGCTGGGACACACCTGGGGACACCTGGGGGACACCTGGGCACACCTGGGCACAGCTGGGGGGCACCTGGGCACACCTGGGACACACCTGGGCACAGCTGGGGGGCACCTGGGGGACACCTGGGCTCACCTGGGGGACACCATGGGGACAGCTGGGCACACCTGGGGGGCACCTGGGCACACTTGGGGCACACCTGGGCACAGCTGGGAACACCTGGGGGACACCTGGGACACACCTGGGCACACCTGGGGGACACCTGAACACACCTGGGGGGCACCTGGGCACGTCTGGGGACAGCTGGGGGGGGAGGGACACACTTGGGACACACGTGGGGGACACCCGGGGGCATCTAGGGACACCTGGGCACAGCTAGGGACAGGTGGGACACACCTGGGCACACCTGGGGGGGAGGG